GGTAGATGTTTATTGTTTTGAGCTTCCCTCTTAGAACTGCTTTTGCTGTATCCCATAATTGGTATGTTGTGTTTCCATTTTCATTTGTCTCAAGGTAATTTTTATTTTCTTCTTTGATTCAGTGGTTGTTCAGGAGAGTCTAGGTATCTTTGGTGAAGTGTCTATATAAGTCTTTAGCTCATTTTTTTTATCATTAATGTATAATTACATGAGCAACATTATGGTTATTAGACTCCCCCTATTATCAAGTACACACCAGATACCCCATTACAGTCACTGTCCATCAGCGTAGTCAGATGCTATAGAATCATTACTTGTATTCTCTGTATATACTGCCTTCCCCATGCCCCCCAGCCCCCACATTATGTGTGCTAATTGTAATGCCCCCCTTTCCCCCTTATCCCTCCCTTCCCACCCATCCTCCTCAGTCCCTTTCCCTTTGGTGGCTATTAGTCCATTCTTGGGTTCTGTGATTCTGCTGCTGTTTTGTTCCTTCAGTTTTTTCTTTGTTCTTATACTCCACAGATGAGTGAAATCATTCAATACTTATCTTTCTCCACCTGGCTTATTTCACTGAGCATAATACCCTCTAACTCCATCCATGTTGTTGCAAATGATTTGTTTTTTTTAATGAACTTTATTTTTTTTAAGTTTTAGATTTACATAAAAATTATGGAGTTAGTACAGAGCATTTCTATAATCACACAGTTTCCTTAGAAACTAACATATAAATTCATGTGGTACATTTAGTATGGTTAATGAACAAATCGCAACAGCATCATTAACTAAAGAACATACTTTCTTAATATGTCCTTCATTTTTATCCCTTTGGTTCATTTTTTTAATTGAGTTGACTAGTTACAATAAATGAATTATAAGTTCCCTATATGCATATGTCCTATGTCTTTTGTCATATATGTACATATATATGCTTTGCAGATATTTTATCCTTTGTCTTCTATTTTTGTAACAGTTTTTTTGAGGAGTAAAATTTTAAATTTTGATGAGATTTACTCTGTTGTCTTCTTTAATTATTTGTGCTTTTTATGTCCTAAAGAGTTCTTTGCTAAACCTAAGGTCATTAAGATTTTTCTCTTATGTTTTCTTATAGAAGATGCATAGCTTGAGCTTTATGTTTTATGTGAGTTTTTGTATATGATATAAGGTCAAAGTTCATTGTTGACATATATGCACATTATTTGTTGAGATTAGCCTTTCACCATTGAATTGCTTTGGCACCTTTGTTTAAAATCAGATCCCCCAATATGTTTGGAACTATTTTCGGAATCTCTATTCTGTTCCACTGATCTGTATGTCCATCTTTATGGTAATAATATACTATCTTGATTATTATGTCTTTATAATAAATCTTAATATCATAGTGTAATTTTACTCTTTGTTTTTCAAATTTTGTTTAAAAAGCTTTTTTAATTTTGTTCTTTTCATAGATTGTGTAACTTCCACATAATTTCAGAATCACCTCGCAATTTGGGGGAAAGTGACCTCTTAATAGTGTCTTTCACATCATGAATAGAGTATATCTAATTATTAAGCCTTCGTCATTTTCTCTAATGGTGTTTTTGTACTTTTAAGTATACAAGTTCTATATATTCTTTTAATACTTATCTCTTTAATATTTCATCTTTTCTCATGTGAATTTTTTAAATTCTAATTTTTAATTTTTGTTGCTAGAATAGAGTAATACAGTTTACTTTCATATGCTGAATTTGTATCAAAGTCCCTTACTCTAGAATCCTTAGGATTCTACATAGGCCAAGGCTAGGGACTCTTTTTCTGTAAAGGGCCAGCTAATCACTATTTTTGGCTTTGTGGGCTACATATGGTCCCTGTTACATATTCTTCCTTTGTCAGTTAAAATTGTTTATTTGTGTTTTGTCACTAATTTGTAGCAGTTCTTTATATATTCTGTATATTAACTCCTTATCAGATATATGATTTGCAGATAGCATAGTTTGCCTGTTCAGTCTAGTGTCCTTTGATGTAGTAGTTTACTTTTTGTTGTTGCTTGTGCTTTTTGTGTCATATCCAAAGTTAATGTCATGAATCATTTCTTGTGTTTTCTTGTAATAGTTTTATAGCTTACATTTAGGTAATTTGAGTTAACTTTTGTATACAGTATGATACAGAGGTATTGTTTCATTCCTTTGCATGGAGTTATCCAGTTTCCTAAAATAGTTTGTGTTAAGAGGCTGTGCTTTCCCAGTGAATGGTCTTGGCATCCTTGTCAAAAATAATTTGTTTCCATGAGCAATGGTTTATTTCTGGGCTCTCTGTTCCATTGGTTTATATGTCTGTCTGATGTCAGTATCATGCTGTTTTGATTATTGTAGCTTTTTAATGTTTTGAAATCAGTAAGTATGAGAACTCCAACTTTGTTACATTTTTAAGATTGTTTAGCTATCGTAGTCCCTTGACATTCCATATGAATATTAGGATGAATCTTTCTATTTCTAGAAAAAACACAATTGGAATTTTGGTAGGCATTGCACTGGATCTGTAGATCTATTTGACATCTTAATAATATTAAGTCTTCCAATCCATGAACAAAGGATGTCATCCCATTTATTTGTCTCTAAATACTTTCAGCAATGTTTTGAAGTTTTCAGGGTAAGTCTTTTCATCTCCTTGGTTATGTTTATTCCTAAATATTTTATTTTTATTGATGGTATTAAATATGGAACTGTTTTCTTAATTTCTTTTAAGAAATGTTCATTGTTTTAGCATATTAAAACACAACTGATTTTTGTGTGTTCAGTATCCAGCAACATTGCCAAAACTAATTTATTGGTTCTGACAGATGAATAGAGATAATCATTTTTATTTGAATGCCCTTTATATATTTTTCTTCTCTTGCTTTTCTGACTAGGGCTTCCAGCATTGTGTTGGATAAAAGTGACAAGAGTTCATCCTTGTCTTATTCCTCATCATTCAGGGAAAGCTCTCCATCTTATACCATTGAGTATGATGTTAGCTGTGGGCTTTTCATCGTACAGCTTTCATTATGTTGTAGTAGTATCTATCATTCTATTTCTTGTTTGTTGAGTGCTTTTATAATGAAAGTGTGTCGAATCTTGTCAAATGCTTTTTCTTTATCATTTGAGATGATCGTGTCATTTCCCTTCATTCTGTTACTGTGAAGTATTAACCCTGATTAGTTTTCATGTTAAACCATCCTTGCATTCCAGCAATGAATCTCACTCAGTCATTGTGTATAATCCTTTTCATGTGCTATGGAAATCAGTTTGTTATTATCTTGTTGAGGATTTTTGCTTCAGTATTTGCCAGGATATTGGTCTGTGGTTTTCTAGTAGTGTCTCTGTTTGGCTTTGGTATCAGGTTAATGCTGGCCTCATAGGATAAGTATGGAAGTGTTCTGTTCTTTTCAGTTTTTTGTAAGAATTTTAGGATGGTTGGTGTTAATTTTTTAAATGTTTGAGAGAATTCCCCAGGGCTGTTATTTGTTGATGTTTTTAATTACTCCTTCAAAGTCCTTACTAGTTATATAGGTTTGTTCAGATTTTGTTTCTTCTTCATTAAGTCTTGGTAGGTTGTGAGTTTCTAGGAATTTATCCATTTCATCTAGGTGACCCAGTTTGCTGCTGTACAACTGTTACTGTATTGTTATGATCCTCTGTATTTCTGTGGTATTAGTTGTAAAGTCTCTCATAATTTTATTTCTACAAAATCAGTTGTAATGTCCCTTTTATTTCTGGTATTAGTTATTTAAATCTTCTCTTTTTTTCTTAGTCTAGGGAAAGCCTATCAATTCTGTTGATCTTTTCAAAGAACCAACTCTTGGTTCCATTGATTTTTTTTTCTATACTGTTTTTCTATTCTCTCTTTCACTTATCTCTGCTCTCATCTTTATTATTTCCTATCTTCAACTAGCTTTGGATTTAGTTCTTTTTCTAGTTTAAGTTATAGAGCTAGGTTGTTGACTTGACATCTTTCTTTTTTAATATAAGTATTTATAGTGATAAATTTCCCCTGTAGCATTGCTTTCACTGCATCACATAAGTTTTGTTATATTGCATTTTCATAATCATTTGGCTGAAGATATTTTCTAATTTCCCATGTGATTTCTTATTTGACCTATTGGTTGTTTAAGAGTATGCTGTTTAATTCTCACCTATTTGTGGATTTTCCAGTTTTCCTTCTGCTTGTTGATGTCTAGTGTCATTCTGGTGTGAACAGGAAGGATAGTTTGTATAATTTCAGTCTGTATTTACTTATACTTGTTTTATGGCCTAACATATGATCTGTTCTGGAGGATGTTCCATGTGCATTTGAAAACAATATGTGTATTCTGCTACTGTTGAGTGGAATGCTCTGTATATAACTTTTGTTCTGTATATAACATTTAGTGTATATGTAGTGTTGTTCAAGTACTCTTCTTATTGATGTCTGGTGGTTCTATTCTCTGTTCAACTCTTTAGAAAACATAGCTGTTGCTGTTCATGTGTTCCTAGGAGTCTCACCCTGCATATATGGTAATTAAGTGTATGCCAAGGGTTTGAGGGAATTTTGAGAGATCCTTTCTTTCCAGGGTATTTCCCACCATCCTGGCAGCCATGTTACTCATTCCTTAGCGCAGTAAGAAGCCAGTTGAATGTTGATCTCAACCAGAATGCTTCTGTTTTTTCAAGGATCATATCACCCAGTTTCTGCTTACTATTTATTATTCATCTGTGCCTTCAAATATGTTTTTAAAATTGTGTCCAGAGTTCATATTTGTTACTCTCAGGAGAGTTGCTCCAATACAAGCTACTATGCCATTACTGGAATTAGAATGAGTTATTTTTTAAATGTTTAAAATGCAAGAGAGGTGAGCACCAAGTTATCAAAGTTACGGTAATTTAATAGTTTAAAGAAAACTATAAAAATTTTTCAGATAAAGTTTTTATTACTGAAGTGATGATAGTTATAATTTTTCCATGAAAAGACTGCAAAGAATATATGGGAATATTTCTCTTCTACAGGATATAGCAAATGAAGAACACAAGAAAATTGAAGCATTAAAAGCAGAAAACAAGAAGCTAGAAAAGCAAAAAGGAGAATTAATGATAGGGTTCAAGAAACAATTAAAATTAATTGATGTTTTAAAAAGGCAGAAGGTGAGTATTTGAAACAGTTGAACCTCTAAAATAGGTAGTATTTCTACTTTAGGTATGTTTTGTTTGACATGCTTAGGCACAAAATTTTATAATCTTCATATATATATAATGTGTCATCCAAGTAAATTAGTAATGTGGAAACTGGGACTGGTAAATACAGTGTGGGTACTCCCTAACTGAAGAAAATACCATATGCAGGAATGACGATTATCTTAGGGGATTGGTTTGCCTCTTGAAACCTCAGGGAAAGCTGACTGAAAACCACTATTGCTCCCTTCTCTACACATCAATTACCTGGTGGTGAGAAGATATGAAGTCATGCTCTGCCACTTTTCCTTTATGCAAAGGTTAGGCATTAGTGTTCTCTTAACAGGTTAGTTTCAATAGCACTGTTAGACAAGCAGACTTTTTATAGGCCCTTGGGTATAATTACCATTTCAAGTGTGTTTATTGGACTTATAGTACACATTCCTATTACAGAGCTTATAATTTGATAGCATACACACACTTGTACAGATTTCTAGTTTTTGTGATCTATTCTTAATAATAAACAATATCAATATTTTTAAAAATATATAGATGCATATTGAAGCTGCCAAGATGCTGTCTTTCACAGAAGAGGAATTTATGAAGGCACTTGAATGGGGAGATTCATAAGTGATCTACTTTAATTAGTCTGTATAACAAACTGTGTGACAGATATATAATTTATTTCAATTGTAATGGTTTGAATTTTTACTGAGAAATGAAATCAGAGTAATTCCTAAGTATTTTGTAAAATAAACCAATAAGAATTTAACTTTTGAGTATGCTTTTTTAACTGTGCTTGAATAGAAAATATATTCTGGCGATTTAGGTTTAGTTCATAGGTGATAGCTTATCTGAGAAATTCTGTTTTGAAGTTAGGTAGTAAAACACTTTGAAATTCCTTGCTCTTTACTTTTCTCCTCCCTTATTAAAGATAGTATAAAAGATGCTTTAAACCCAAATTAATTTTAGACACTTAGTTCCCTGGACAAATTAGGGACATTGCTAAATATAAATACAGAACTGTAGCCAAATGCAGAAAAAGCTCTGAATGGTAGGAGTGGTATGGAGAAGGCAGCCTCTTGGGTTTGGAGTGTTGTAATGTGGTGTAGAACTCAGCTCTTCAAATTATCAGTACAAAAACAACAGTTTGATTGATTTAAAAATTTTTTTTAAATTCTGAATATATAACTGCAAAATGAATTGCTTTATCAGAAAATATTTTCTTATAGATAATTGTTTACAAATGATGAAATACAGAGGTACTTCAGAAAATCCAGACAATGGATTGCCATCACTGAACTATAAAACAAAGGTTACACTGACATCTAGTGGTAATGTAAAAAAATCCAGGTTTTACCAAATCTTGATACTATTTCTCTTCATAAATTTCATGCCTTTTCTGATATGCTTTTCTAAACTCTTCACCAAGCATATCAATATCATCTTCTTTTTTAAATACTCCCTACAAGAAAAATATTTTGTGGGTTACTTTGAAGGCCAGAATATTTCACTCAGTGCTTGTAAGACTGTTATCCCCAAGATAATAAAGTCTAATTATAGATTTATGAAAAAAATCATTTCTATTCTCTGAAAATTATGACAGAATTTTCTTAGACTGACCTGATTTCCTGATTTATCAGTTCAAGAGTAGTAACTTGTGATAGGAATCTGGGCTTTTACTACTAAAAAGGACCACTGCTTGGGTTGACTAAAGGGGAATGAATTTTACATATATACTGTACCCTATCCTTGTCTTGAAACAGCCCTACAATATGACATTAGGGAGCTCATAGTATGAGACTGAGCTTTGCCAGATTCATATACATGGAATTAGCTCTTGCCTCAGTTCTGTGGCTAAGCAGCATTCAGTCTTGCAGGAAAGAGTCCATCCAGGTTTGCAGTTAAGCCATTTACCCTCTGAAAAATCTAAAGGATCTAAAGAATAACTTAGGTCATTAGGGGCCATTAGGACCTAAAAGATAAAAGTCATTTTAGGATATCAGGTTTGTTGGGCTCTCTCCATCTACATAATTATTTCCCTACAAAAATATCTAAACCCCAGGACTCTACTGTTATAGGGCACATCTGTCTCAGAGGATGTCTGTTACTAGCGTTATCAATTACAAGATTTCTTGTATTATTATCAGCTTTGGTATAAAATATATAATTATTACTTTAAAGTAGTTTGGATTTAGACCTCCTACACTGAAAGGGGAGAAAAGAATCTCTAAAATTTGAATTCAATAAATCAAGCTTATACTTCTAAGAATGTGCCAAGACCAACTCTCTCATTTTAGAGATGTTCAGTGACTGCCCAAGTTCCCACTGCTGCTTCACAACAAGAAGGGAGCGAAACCCAGGCCCTCTGAAATCCTTATTACCATGGTTTTTCCCCACTACGAGAGTTCATCAAAATTACACCATGACTAAAATCTCACTTACTTTAGGAAGATAGCCTAGTAATTTTGTAGCATGTTCTTGGAGAAGTTTTAGTCTTTCTTCTTCAATAATTGCATTAATATATCCTTGTCGTCTTTGCTGCAACTGCCATTCTTTCAGTTCATGTTGCTGGAAATGTAAATGCAATTTTATTAATTGTCATGAAATACATTAATCTTTTAAGAAGTTGTCAAAACTATTTTAGGGAGGCAAGCACCTATTTTCAGGACAGTATCTTCATTACCAAGGAAAAAATGTTCAAAGCAGTGCTTTCCTAATTAATTCAACCTATATTTGTTGAATGCTTACCATACACCACGTGCTAAAGGCATCTTACAGTATAAGACAAAAAGAAATGGATAATATATATTTTATAAATTTTTTAAAACCCTGTAGCCCCCATACACAAAAGCAAATTCGAAATGGATCAAAGACCTGAATGAAAGTCATGAAACCATAAAACTCTTAGAAAAAAACATAGGCAAAAATCTCTTGGACATAAACATGAGCCTCTTCTTCATGAACATATCTCCCCGGGCAAGGGAACCAAAAGCAAAAATGAACAAGTGGGACTATATCAAGCTAAAAAGCTTCTGTACAGCAAAGGATACCATCAGTAGAACAAAAAGGCATCCTACAGTATGGGAGAATATATTCATAAATGACAGATCTGATAAAGGGTTGACATCCAAAATATATAAAGAGCTCATGCATCTCAACAACCAAAGAGCAAATAATCCAATTAAAAAATGGTTAGAGGAGCTGAACAGACAGTTCTCCAAAGAATAAATTCAGATGGCCAACAGACACATGAAAAGATGCTCCACATCGCTTGTCATCAGAGAAATGCAAATTAAAACCACAATGAGATATCACCTCACACCAGTAAGGAT